TAGAAATAATTAGTGCCCACCAACTTCCTAAACCAAAGGGATCAGTATCTGCTATAAACCCCTTTATCAATTTTGATATAGCAGGAGCTAGCGATATAGTATGGGATCGTGGATCAACTCCTTTGAGAACTTCAATAATTCCTGAAAATGGATTTAATCCTATATGGAATGAAAAATTCAGTGGTACTATTACTACATCTGATGATTTCGTTTTTGTAAGATTTTTGATCAATGCATCTTCTTCAATTTCAGAGGTAGAAGAAATGCAACCTATTGGTATCCTAGTCTGCAAATTATTCGATCTCAAGAAGGGTTACAGATATCTTCCAATAAATGATTTACTAGGAGAGGAATTAATATATTCTACACTATTTGTTAAGATTAATTACTACGAATTATAGCTTATAATCTTAGCTTATGTATAGTACCCACTTTTACTATAGCATCTTGTATATATAATTAATGATAAAATCACGTGAATAATTTTTTTTTTTATAATCTCATCTGATTTATGAAATATTCTACCAAGAGAATCGGGTTTTCTAGTTTATTCTACAGATAATTGGGAAACAACATGGGTAAGATAACAGTAAGCGAGACGAAAGGAAAGGTTCGTCATAATCCATTATACAAAGATATTGAATCACAAGGTGGGAATTTGAAATCGACATCCACATCATCTCGTTCAAACCAAAAAAATACTGAAAAGAACGAAGAACACTTTCTAGATGCAGCAGCTTCGAGAAGAATTTTACAGTTGGCTAAGGAACAACAAGAGGAATTAGAAGACGAAGAAAATTCAGGAAAGACTAGACCAAGCTTCTTGGATACTTATAGATCGCAGAAGGATGAGGAAGACGAAGAGGAAGACGAAGAGGAAGAGGAAGAATATTCTGAATTTGAAGAAGATGAAATAGCCGAGGAAGAAATAGAGGTTGATGAAAAAGATGCTGCTTTATTTGAAAAGTATTTTGCAACAAATGGACCAGGAAATGGCTCGATAAATTTGGCAGACAAAATCATGGCTAAAATTCAAGAAAAGGAGACTATTAAAGAAAATAATAGTAGGCCAGTTGATGCCGTGTTATTACCACCTAAGGTTATCTCTGCATATGAAAAGATTGGACAAATTTTGTCTACCTATACCCATGGTAAGTTGCCGAAATTATTCAAGGTTCTCCCAAGTTTACGTAACTGGGAAGATGTGTTATTTGTAACCAACCCAGAAAAATGGACTCCACATGCTGTTTATGAAGCAACGAAGTTATTTGTTTCTAATTTGCAAGCGAATGAAGCTCAGAAATTTGTTGAAATGGTATTATTGGAAAGATTTAGAACCTCGATTGAAGACTCAGAAGATCATTCCTTAAACTATCATATTTATAGAGCATTAAAGAAATCTTTGTATAAACCAGGTGCTTTTTTCAAAGGGTTTTTATTTCCATTAGTGGATTCTCATTGTTCTGTCAGAGAAGCGACTATTGCAGCATCAGTTTTAGCTAAGATTTCCGTACCAGTATTGCATTCATCAGTTGCATTAACGCAATTGGTGCAGAGAGACTTCAAACCCTCTACTACTGTGTTTATTAGAGTTTTGATTGAAAAGAAATATGCTTTACCATACCAAACTTTAGATGAGCTAGTCTTTTATTTCATGCGCTTTAGAAAAGCTGCCCAAATAAATGATTCAATGATAGATGAAGAAAAGGAAGAACCACAGTTACCTGTTGTTTGGCATAAAGCGTTTTTATCATTTGCTCAAAGATACAAGAATGATATTACTGATGATCAAAGAGACTTTTTGTTAGAAACTGTTAGACAAAGATTTCATCATGCAATTGGTCCTGAAATCAGAAGAGAATTATTAGCTGGTAAACCAAGAGTACCTCCTCAACCAGTAAAAGAAGCCATTATGATTGATGCTTTTTGAAAAGTATTGTCTGCTACTATTTGTATTTTTAGAATTATATTAGTCTGAATTTGCTTATGAATATATTAATATTTTAGTAAAATATAACTTGTATATAATGCATACTATACGGCGAAACCTGGTCCGTCATCTGAAGTTCTTTCCCTGGCTTCTGCGCAAAGCTTATCAAAATCAGCAAACAATGAATAATAACTTTGAACAACACCAATTATAGTTAGTGCTACACTGCTTCCAATCCAAAGGCCATGCAAAGTTCCTCCAAACTTCGAGTAAAATGTCAAGTAGACAGATAGCGGCAAACCGACTACATAGTAGGATACGAGGTTAACGATACCACCTATTTTTGTTTGACCCTGACCCCTCAAGCAGCCTGCTGAATTGGCATTCATTGCATCAGAAATCTGCATTAATGCAATTAACCACATTACTCCTTCTACAGTCTTTATAACCTTCTCGTCATTAGTAAATAATTTGGCGATCTGAGTTTGGAAGCAGAATAACACCAAAAAATTAAATGTAGATATGACAAGACCAAAACATAAAGAGACCCATGTAGCTGTTTTGGCAGGTGAACTCAATCCTGCGCCTAAAAAGTTAGCAATACGAGTGGAGGAAGCAATACCAATCGCAAAAGGGACTTGATACGTAAGTGATGCCATCGTTGTACCAATTGACTGTGCCGCTAAGGCAACGGTACCCAAGTAGGATGCCAATAATGTCAATATTTCAAAAGCAAGAAACTCTGCTTCTAACATGATCAAACCAGGTATTGCTAAATAAATTAGCTTATCCCAAGCTCTAAAGGATTCTCTAATATTAAGCCCACTCCAACAAACCAACGGATGCAAACCAGTAGGTGTACTTTCTGGTTTAACGAAATAGACAACAGCAACAAATAAGCCAATTGCCATCAACCAATAATTAATGGCTACTGCAATTGGAGCACCAATATACCCTAAATGTTTGACGAACAACCAATTCATAAGCAAATTTGATGGAGCTGCAAATAACAAAACAACTGTTGAAATATGATAAATACCTTGAGATTGTAGAAATCTCTTACCACATTCAAATAGAATATACGCTGGAATACCGGGAGCTATATATTGCAAATAGACAGCAGCATATTTGGCTGTCTCTTTATCCGGTAAAATAAGGGTGATCAATTCATATCCGAAAAATAACCAAATGACTAAGACAGGTGCCATAACAGTAAAGATTAATGCTGTACACTTTTGCAAGTAGACCCCAACAAGCAGGTACTTCTTTGCTCCAAAGGCTTGAGGACATAATGTATCCAACGCAGTTGCAATACCTTGAATGGTGGCATAACCAGTAATGTTTGCAGTCATAGAACCCATTGAAACCGCAGCCAATTCCACTGCACCTAAGTGTCCAACAGTAAAAACGGATACTGTCGAAAGCGAATTTTGCAAAAGAAACGTTACAATCAATGGAATGGATGAAACAACCAAGGACTTTAATTCAATAGATGCTGTAGTAGTAGATAACTTTTTCGATATAATCGCTTCCTCGAATGTATCTATAACATCATCTTCATTCCCTTGTAAAGGTATTTTAATATTGCTGTCTCGTAAAAACAGCCTCTCTTGTTCTATAATTTCTCGAGTCACACTTGACTGACGACGATTTTTTCTGCTGCTAAGTACAGCAGGACGATCCAATAACTGACTGCTTTCATCAGGCGTATGAGGTGCAACCCCTTGGTCGTCATCAAAACTAATACCAGCATGGTCACCATGTGGCTTGATAAAATCAGAAGGAGTGAATAAACCACCCTTACCTATTGAACCATATACCACCGACGCTCTCCGTTGGGAATTCGAGTGAGTGAACTGATGTGTCCTTTCATTGAAGGACATTTTCACTAGATTATATTTAAAAAATCTTTATGGGAAGACGTCAATGTCAAAAAAAAAAAACTAAAAGTGAAATTGATAACGGCTTCCGGATTAAGGCGAGATCGTAAGATTTTTTGTTATCTACCAAAAACATAAATTCAAACTTAATATACACACTATGTTACTAATATACTTAAACAGTATTATATGATACGGGCAATGCAAATTAATCAACACTGGTCTTATTGTTGATCGTTGATATTCGACAACAATTGAGCCAAGCATCTTTTTGTAGCAACATCATCTTGTAAAATAAGAGAAAAAGTTCCATCTCTTAATGGCTCAGGTAAAATATTCGCCAATGCCTTTCTAGCTTCTAGGTTATCCGATAATCTCATATAGCATCTAACAACATGCTTTAGCAACCTTCCAGAGCTATTCGAAGGCTGTTGAGGGGTTTGGGTATTAGTAGTGGCACTTAGTTGGTCAATCATCTTGGATAAAACAGAAGCAACTGTGTGAAATCTTTCATACGTCGTACATATGTATGACAAACCTTGATCATCAAGAAGAATTTTCTGCAAAATGAAAATAGCCACTGTTTTAGACAATTCGGACGAAATTTCCATAATATTCAAACACAATGGTACAATTTCAGTCGTCAACAAAAAATTAATCACCTCCGGTGTATCATTTTTGACTAGTGCTCCAATCACACCCAAACTTGTCAATCTTAAATACTCAAATGATCTTTGTCTTGCATTAGTAGACAAAAACGGATAAAGATACAATGGTAAGTTAGCACTTAAAAACAATCCTCTTGTTTGTACGTTGGACGCCACACATTGAAGTAATGCTAATGCATTACACACTCTATTAGAAACTGACGCAGTCAATATTGGCGGATTTAAAAATGGATAAACTGATATAATTTCTTCCAATAATACTGTCATAACCCCAAATGAATTCCATAATACCAATGCTAAATCGTCATATTGTTCTCTCTTCTTACCTAATTCCAATAATGCACGTTCTCTATTTGTACCGGTAACTAATTCAGATATCCACTGATAAATTTGTTCATCGTTCAATGCTTTGTTCTTAGAAGCCATATTGCCATCAGATTGATGTCCTTGAGGAATAGACGCTTGCGATTGTGGTTGAGCCGCAGCACTATACATCCTTTCTATATCTTATCCTTCTTTAGTATGTTCTATATAAACGTATGGAAAATAAAAAAAAATACTTTATCTACTAGTGTTGAGTTTTGCTTTTACACTGAACAGAGAAATGTGAGCAGAATATCCGACAAAGAAAAAAAACGACCTCGGTGAGGGTCGAACTCACGATCTTGAGATTAACAGTCTCACGCCTTAGCCAACTTGGCCACGAAGTCTAACAGTTATAAACCCTAACGTAGCATTTTTGTCCTTATACTACATTAAAGAATGACACCTATTTACATTTGTTTTACATAAAAGCGTCGATTAAAAGGCAAACTATAAAATAACAACAAAGGAGTATTGTTAAAACTTTTTAAAAGGGTCTAACATCTAATTAAGATTATCCGTCAATTTCTTCGTATTTCTCTATTCTATCTTCTGCTTTATCTTCATCATCAATTTTGACACCACCACTTATAGAAAATTGACCACCGGCATTTATCTGCTGAATATCATGATATTTTGTAGCAGTATTTACTATTCTGGTTGGCTTTTCAACATCCTCCTCTAATGGACCTAAACCTGGGGCATAAGTATCACCAAAACCCCAGGCGTACACAAAACCATCATCAGTTACGGCGAAGGAATGATGCGAGCCACAAGCAATAGTCTTACATTTGACACCATTATCAGACTTCAATCCAAATTGAAGCTTAGTAGGAGTTGGAACCGATCTGGCGTTTCCATGTGCATCTTTGAAGGTGGATTCCGGTAATTTATCCTTTGGAATTCCGACTTCTTTCATGTCATATCTACCCCAAGAAAGAACCAGACCATCCTCCGTTAATGCCATCGAATGATGCTCACCGGCACAGAGTTGGGTAATACCCTTTTTCGATAATTCGGGAATAAGGGTAGGCGATGTAATTAAGGAACCATCTTCTAATTTACCATCTGAGTCAGTTAGAGCACATTGACCGAATTGATTCAATCCCCATGCATACACTTGGTCATCATGGTCAATAGCAAAGCAGTGAAAGTCACCACTTGCGATATATTTGATGTTATATAATCCAAATTGTTTTGGCTCTAAACCACGATAACGATGTCTTTCTATAACACGACGGCCTAACTGAAATTGTTGACCATTACCCCAAGCGTAAACGATACCTTTTGAATCCAAAGCTAATAAATGATCTTTTCCTCTTGCTAATTGAACAACATTCTTTAATTGTTCAATTTTTAAAGGCGTCTTTTGTAATTTAATTTCATCTCTTAAGAAGCCTAATAAACCTTCATTACAACGGAAACAACCCCAGGCATAAACATCTCCGTTATCATATAAGACTGCACTCAAATTATCAGTGGCTGCTAGTTGAACGATATTTGCGCCTTTAAGCTTTGGTAAATTTTCAACTAAACCCGGCGTGGATTCGGCTTCGTTTAAATCGCCATCCTCATCATCTTCAGAATCATCAGCATCCATATCCTTCAAAACTTCTTTAACTTTCGAAGTATCTCTACCCAAAACACCACTGTCATTACCACCCCAAGACCAAACTCTATTGTCAGAATCCAAGGCTAACGTATGCATACCACCGGCGGCAAAATCAACGATCTTGCTATCACCCAAATGCTCACTAGTCAAAAATGGGTTTAATCTTGGTCTTTTAACTTCCTTGGTTTTAGCAGAAGGTCCAAGGCCTAATTCACACATTGATCCTGTACCCCATACAAATACATCTAAAGGCTGAGTTTTAGCGAGAGGAATACTATTGAGGTCCGGCAACTTTGAATACGAATGCAATACAAACGAAGAAGTTGCACTCTTAAATTTCTTGGTGCCGTTAGGTTGCTCAGAACCAGAGATCTTTCTTTTTCTTTCTAAAGCTACCATTGTATTGCTATTATCCTATGGAATATCGATTTATTAAAATACACGGTAAAAGAACACTAGTCTACTAAAAGCTTCTCTTCAAGTAGAACTCTTAGATCATAAATATATCAAAAAAGGATGAGAAAAAAACATTGCGACATCCCTACACCCCATTCTAGGAGGACGACAAAAACGCTATGATTTATACTGTATCAACTACACCTGAACATTCTAGTATTAATAGGGTATTATTATCAATGGAATAAAGTAAAATGTAAATATATATATCTAAATTGTCTAATATAGAATAGAGTGCTAGTTTAAAGCATTTGTATTTGGAGCTGCATAACCTTCTCTCTTATGGCTCCACTTACTTTTGGTTTCAACCATAAATCTCGCTGATTGTTGGATAAGGTAACCAAACGAACCCACAGCTCTAAAGAATGCTAACGCGGCAACAGTCCACAAAATGAATGCTAAGTAAATGTTTTTATCGGTTGCACCAGGCTCGTACACCTGTAACATTGTCATGATGAATATTAAGTTTACAAGTAACCAAATTAAGACAACTCTAGTACGAACATCCTTTGCATAATCTTCCCCTTCCAATTGAGGAGGTGGTGGACGGGCAGTTAAGACTTTCTTATTGGATCTCCTGGCTCTGATATTGTACAAGGTTTCGAGATATACTTCTTCAATATTAACGTCCACAACCACGGCTTCAAATTCACCCTTCTCATTCTTGTGAATAATATATTGATTATCCTTATCTTCTTGCGGGTTGTTATCCCCTTTAGTACCCCATGAAACATCATGTGTATTACAGAATGCAAATATTTGTAAGGTACAAGTGTAAGAAGGAATCATCAAAAAGTATTGTACCGAACATGTTAACATGTGCCATGGATCCAAATATAAAATGGACATTAAAGTGTACAAACCATAAGTTGATAATAATGATACAACAATGCTTATGAAAACATAAGTAGATGAATCTCCCATTCCGTAGCTTTCGATAGTGCTGAAAACAAAGTAAAAACCGACTATCAATGCATATAATGCACACACGGTCAATAATATTACCAATGTCTTGAAAATTTTTCTTGAAGCTTGGGGCCTATTACCGATAGAAACAATAAACAACGACGTTAAGCAACAAATACATAAATAGTTGAATAGGGTGAAGATCCAAAAACCTCCGTTATTTCCAATATTCTTATTATCGACCAATGAACCCGTTAAAAAGTAAAAAGTCAAATAAAAGTTACTTAACGAAAAAAAGGAAAACAAAAGGGAGACAAATTGATAAGTGAATTCGACATGCAAAAAGAACTTTCTGGAGAATGAATGATCAGTTAGCCAAATGCTATTGAAATGACGTAAAGCATATAAAGCTGCAAAGAAAGCACCATTAATCCAACGTCTTCTTTGTGACAAAAATTCAGGAATTGATTCAGGTACATCAGTCTCTCCTGTTGCCAGCTTAACGAACTTCAAAACCCAATTTTCACTTCTTTTGGAAACCAATTCCCAACACAAGATACGATCTTCTGCCAAGTACATATTTGCTTCAAAGAAGTTTGTTTTACTGTTCTTTTTACCATTGTTTTGTTCATTCAACAAATCGTCACCCTTGAAGTATGAGGCTAATGGCCCTGTACCATCTTCATGATTTTTCAATGCAATATAACGATAAGCCGATAATGCACCTGGCAAAACTGAAATATAACCAAATAATGATTCTAATGGCTTATCAAGGATATTTGACATCTTATACTCGAAATTTTGAGATGCGACCAAGGGGTTGGTTAAATTAATCCAACCTTTTCCTTTTATAGCCTTAATTTCACCTGCAGCGCCTGCAACATTCGAATCCCTATCAAAAGCTTTCCATAAATTATAAACTGCATGGCTATCAGGCTTTGTTCCAACATCTAGCAAGATAACAACATTAGGATCTAAAACAGGGCAAAATGCATTAAACAACCATCTATGCGAATTAATCTTCTTCTGGTTCTTTTCTTTAAGGCAAAACATAACCTGAACTGGAGCAAGACACTTTTCGTCACCTTTGAACTTCAAATTTTCGTCAATAGATATTTGAGTAGTATATTCAAATAAATGAGCATTCACCTTCTTGTTATTGACATATGGTCTTGCCAAATTTTCTTGGTAACACCCGGTGGCTGTTAATAATTGTAAAACCGAACTATTTACTTTATTTCTACCATCCGCTACAATTATGACTTGAATCTTTTTCCAACCATCTTTGCCCCAAAAGGATGATTTATGTCTAGAACATAAGTGAGCAACATTCTTCATAACACCATGCATGGTTCTGGAAAATGAAAATTCATCTTCATTATACATTGTAATGCAAATCACAATTTCAGTTTCCCTTCCATATTTTGCAGCTCTAAGGGTGAAACCGTCGCTAACGAATTCATCAGGCTCAGAAGTACAGGCTGTATATGTCATATTTGTGAATTCACCAAAAGGTGATTCAGTTCTTGTCAAAACTTTCTTCAATTCGTTAGGGATTGGGTTTTCAAGCACCAAGTTACCAGTTTTACCTCCAACTAACCTAACTTTACGTTTCGTTACGGTTTTATCGCCGGTTGGAACATAACCGTTATCAATATTATGCATCATCTCCCCATCAATAGATGCTCCAAAGTATTCACTTTCTTCAGCCTCCCCTGAAGTATACGATGGACCACTATATGCTGTCGAATCGGAATATAACGACCTTTGCTCTAGTTCATGTGCCTTCTGATAAGTATCATAATCGTAGCTGTTCCTTGATTTATCATCGGTGATGGTTTCCTGATCCTCATCGTGTGGGTTTGCTTCGGCGAATGTCTCTGGCGAAAAAATTGGTTGAGGTGGTTCTAAGAACCTTTCACTTCTAGCTGAACTGTTAATCGATTTTCCAAATTGCGAACGTCTTGGTGAACCCAGAAATGGATCAGCAACCTCTCTTTCGTCATCATCACTGTCAATAAAAACCTCAGCCTTCCTTTGGCGCTTTGGTGACTCTCTGGATGTAAATTGTGATCGTGGAGTTGTTCCTTCCCCAAATTGAAGATTTGGTGCATTCCCAAGAGGATTTCCTTGATTTCTATTTGCACTAGCAACACTTCTGGCAAATATATTTGGGGATTGTCTATATGGCAGTTGTTGGGTCGATTGTGGAAACATCATAAGTTCTTCACTTGCTTCTTCATCATCATCGTCGTCTATTCTATTGTATCTTCTGGGCGATGAACGATCGCTTGTGAATGCAGCATGCGGTAAAGAAGGATGTTGAGGGTCCGCAAAAGGACCTTCGTCTTCATCGAATGGGTTTGACATTTTGTATACAAAAAAATCCTTTTCTTTACTAAATTGTCTTTTGCAAAAGGAAATGTATCATTAAACTTCTCTCTAGTTTTATAAATATCTAAACTACCGTTAGGACCCAGTCTGTTTACATTTCATAGTGCTTATTTTTATTTACAAAATTTCCTAAAACGGAAAGTACATGTTTTGTTCTTTTTTCAATTAAGCTGAATGCTACAACTTGAACTTGACATGGCCTTTTAACAGCAATAGAGCTCCATTATCATATATTGCCCGAGAATATACAACAAACCCATTTTTTTTAACATATTAGTAATCTAATTCAGTAATTTTTACCACTTCCGTAAAAATGTTGAGGTGCAAGCCATATATCGATAAATTATATACTAGACAGCATAGCCAAAATGAATATAGCCTAATTATACACATGAGAGTTTCAAGCAATCACTAAATGTTGTAAAAACACTACTAGTTACTTACTCATATAAATAGACAATCATCATTAATAGATGATTCAGGTTTACTTCTACATTTAACATAACTAGGCAATTCGTACATAGTCACACATTCTAGAGTTTTTATCTAAAGGCATCGCTAAAATCAATTGTGATTATGGTCCTGCGAGTTATAATCGTGGACAATGTAGTTCAAAATTAATTTAGATAATCTTATTCAATGATAAAAATCCAGAGATTAAATTGTTAGTGCTGCGAGAAATATTTAAAAATGCACATTATCATAACTTTAGTTTTATTTAAAGAGACCATCAGATATGGAAGGTAATAATTCCAACTCTCCTTTCTATAACCATGGAAATAATTCTACATCATCGGCACTACAATTTACACCGGGAACGAATACAACTTCGCAGATATCGAGTGTAGGGTTTAATAATCTAAAAAAAGTTGGTACCAACTCCTCGCAAGCATCTACTTCTAGTACTATCACGAATAGAACCAATCCAATAACAAGGCTATTCACTAAGAATAGATCAAACTCCATAGTCAATCCACAAGTAATACAATTTGATGATGGCATTAATGACCTTAATAATAGTGATGAAGACGATACTTCGACGGCATCGACGACCGACCCCAGGAAACCCTCGGGGAGTGGAATGTTTAAATTTTCAAAAAAGAATAAGCTTAAGTTTTCTGGCAAGAATAGTTCAAGCAAACCTGACCTAACAATTCAAACGGGAGGGCACCACGGTTTGAGGGTGCCGAAGAAGATCTTGAGTTCTTCTCTGTTGGACGATTCCTCGAGTCCCACCGGACATGGGTTGAAGGTACCCAAGAAGATTTTAAATCCTTCCCATATGGACGACTCGCCGAATATGAATAGCAAAAGAAAGAACTCTGTTACTTCACCTGCATCTACATTTCACAATTTCTTTCATCGGTCACATAGTAATTCACAACCAAGTAAAGATTTGCAGCATGTAATATCTAAGGATGATTTGATATCTCTGCAGCAAACGATAAATAACAATCCAAATAGAACTGCGATGAGTCTTTCATCGAATAACTCAAACTCCTTCATTACAGATATAAACTTCGCTTTGGTTTATAATTTCACCGATCCGGATTATTCGGTAGAAGAGTATGTGAATTCAAATGAACATACGTCATTTCTTGATATTCATAAAAAGTTGATGGTACCTACTGACCAATATTTGCTGAATAAGTTACATAAACACCAAACGCAAGAGGTTGGATTAGGAATAATAAGTGATACAGATGGTGATGGTGAATATTTGAGCAAATATTTACTCGATTTCGGTAAGAATAATGTTACATTCTTCAACAATCTTATAAGTATAATGAAGCCATTATTTCAACCATCACAGCAGAAAAGATTGAGTAATAAGATCGTTCACCCATACTTAGGAATGACTTTAGAAGATGTTTCTAATTATATCAAGGATAATTATTTGGGCGAATCTCCGAATACCCCTTCATCAGACTCGCATGTTCTAGAAAGGACTCCTGGGAGCAAATTATCAAAATCAAAGTCCAAGACAAAGTTCTATACCTCTAGTTCTACTAGCACTTTGTCGTTAGGAGAGAATTCTAACGATATTTTCGACGATTTCAAAATTAGAGAAATATCTCAAGATTTGCTAACATTTTTTATCAAGTGCATGATCGCCTTTGATAAAGACTTTACGATTTATGAAAGTAAGACAAAAAACAGAAGCCCAGTGCAAAAAGCTAACAATAATCCGAGCTCACTATCAATTGAATCTATCAACGAATGGAACAGGATTGGAGAGCAATGGTCATATTTCAACGAAAGAATAAGATACTATGTCATGGGTATATTTCATCCCCTTCAAAAGTATTTACATGATATTGCAATACAAAAATTTAATAATGATCCCAAAAGCGTTGTTGAGATGGAAATTGAAAATATTTTCCTTTTGGCATTCAGAGACGTAATTATTATTCCATTTTTGATACTGAGGAATCAAGAATACCATCGCTTACCTTCATCAAGTCAAAAAGTTATATCCGAGGCAAATAATGTTGATTCACCTTCACCTATACCATCTTATACATTTCTGTTAGAAACTGTTGATGACACGGAAGAGATTCTTAAGCTACAAGAGGAACAGGCATTAAAAGCAAATAAAAAGTTACTTAAAAACCTAGTTAACTGTTTTGGTGTATTACTTGCTCATACTCATAATGAGATAGGAAACGCTGATGGAGAGCAACATATTAGGAACAATATCTTCTCGGAAACTTTCACCTGGCTATCAAAGTTAACGTAGAGGTTGCATTTGGTAGGATTTTTAAAAATGGTACAAAGATAAAATAGAACGCGTTCCTCTCAGCGAAGCTTTCCAGATATTCTATATAGATATAACAACATTAGGAATATATACCATAAACATAACCCATTAAAAAGCGTTCTAAATTAATACGATGGCTTTACCGGCTCATTTACAGAACTCCTTGATGCCCTCAGAGGTTAGTTTTCTTGCTGAGAATGAATATATTACAATTTTGCCGAGATATTCAATGAAAAAACTAGAGTTGATAGGAGTATGTATATAATCAAGAAGGGTTAATTGTGATGAAAATATACTAACAAAAATATAAAGACCAAAGTACCGACATTGAGAGGTATGAGAAGAGAAAAAATTCCAATTTGGATAGCTGTGATCTTGAAATCTCAAGATAAATGTAATATCGTTCCTCCAGAGTGGTTAAACTTAATATACTTGAAAGAAAAATACGAAGAGGAATTGAAGCAACCACATAAGTTCAGTGTATTACCCTGGAACTGGCTTGAAATTTCGAAAATTTTACTTAATAAGGCAGCAGATGATTTATCTGATCCTACTCATCAATTAAGATCCATAATACAAGACTTGAGAGAAATACGACTTGTTAAGTCTCGAAAAGGTCTAAAGGAGTTGAACGAATCGAATATCCAATTGGATGGGCTTTCGTTATTGGAGATTAACGAATTGAGACCGTTTGTCTTAACTGTCATGAACAAATTGAGGCAACTCCACGAATCCGTGAACACCAAAACAGATAGAGAAACTGGAAACGATCAGGATGATGATATGTACAACGATGTATCTGATAATGAATGATTATCCGTATCCAAGTTACTCTTCTATGCCTAGATAGTTTGATATATTGTGGTCGTGTACATCTGATAAAAAGTTCCAATGAGTAATATCAAAATCTGAAGGCCGGGATGATTAGGAACGATCTTGGTATTTATTATAGATATTATGAGTAAATTAAGGAATCTTAATCGTCAATTCATATCTAACCTAAAGACCCATGAAGCTGTGACGAATGCCAAACGTAATTTAATTCTTTCTATTTTAAAATCAACCACAACAAAAAGAGAAGCGAGAAATTATCTTAATAAATATCAAAACCAGTTTGATTTCAGTGATATCACATTCGATAATGAAGTACCACTGAATTCATTGGAGACAAGAGATAGTCAGCGTGAACTTTTTATTAATAGATTTTTAAATAAACAAAACCCGTTTACCAATATATATGACGATGAGACGAAATTACAAAAAATTCCATTAAGATTAGCATTATTCAAAATCAAATTCCAGTCAATTCTGTTGGAAAATTGGAAAGGAATGGCTGAGACGTTCAAACGACTAATACATTTGGGAATATCACCTATAATAATGCTTGATTACGATCATTTGCCTGCTAACACATTTAGAAACAATGAATTATACATGTTAAATCAAACTAACAAGATTATGAATATTCTTGGAAAACCGACCGAAGAGAATGATTTAAAGACAATTGTAATGAGGTCACTTTTTACCAAGAAAACGACGGATGACAAAGAACTTGCCATTGACAACTTAGAGCTGGTTTTAATACCCTTGTACCAGGGTGTAATACCAATTATTCAGCCAATTGTATATAACGCATCTACATGCATGCAAGAATTTATTGATTCAAACGATCTATTGTTTAATTTATGTTCATCGTTATTAACAACGAAAAATGTGTTATCAATTGAAAAAGTTGTTATGATAGACCCAATAGGTGGTATTCCGTCAATTGAAAGAAATCAAACTAGTCATGTCTTTATAAACCTATCGCAAGAGTACTCTGATATAGTTTCAGAGTTGTACATAGGGTTTATCAAACCTGAATATAGAATTTTCCATATGAATAATTTAAAGGCTATGAATAAGACTTTGACATTAGTATCTGAAAAAACAGGTAACGATGAAACAACAGGTATCATAACTACTCCGGATATAATGTCTGTTAATAATGATCAGTTGAACCCAATAATTTACAATGTCTTAACTGATAGGTCTATTATTTCATCATCATTGCCGACCTCTCACAACAGAACTCCTGAGCTTTCTACCTCAATTTTAAAAAAAGGTGTAGATGTAAACGTCTTAGATGCTTTGAACTATCCTAAAGCTTTTACGTTGAATAATTTAATGCAAGATGGTTCGGTAAATAAATCTAAACTAGTGGATTTAATTGATGATTCATTTGGAAAAAAATTAGACACTCAAAAATACTTTGATAGAATAAACGATTCTTTAGCTACAGTCGTAATAGTTGGAGATTATGACGGTGCGGCAATCATAACCTGGGAGACATGTTCTAAGACAAAGGAAAAGATTGCTTATTTAGATAAATTTGCAATCGCCAGTGTAAATCAGGGCCTTCCTGGTCTTGCAGACATTATCTTTAAGATTATTTTACAATCTCATCCTAATGAGTTAATATGGAGGTCAAGGAAAAATAATCCTGTTAATAAATGGTATTTTGAAAGATGTTGTGGAACATTAAGCAATCCAGATTCCCAATGGAAAATATTTTATACGGGTGATATTTTCAATAAGAAAATAGATAAGTTAAAGAAGCGAGAAATACCTGGGGGTGTTAATATTTACAGTAAAATGCATCAATATTCTGATATTACGGAGGACATTCCACCTTCGTTTCTTTAGTAGTTTTTATATACGATTTTATATTAATGCGGATCTAATGCGGATCTGAATTCTATCATTTTTTGTAATTGCTTCTTATCAGATCCACTATTATGACTTCAACATTAAGACAAAGGGGATCTTGCACAGATGTAAGATCCAGTGGAGATACTACTTCTGCTGAAACGATACCTAGACTTTATTATTATCACGAAATAGATGAATGGCAACAAGACAATCACTTTATTAGATCAGGATACGTCAAGGAGACTTCGTCGTTTAGAGAATGCTTTAATTCATTATTCTATTTACATAACGAATCGGTAAATATACATACACATTTGCTACCTTCCTTTTTTGTTTTGTTGGTTATAATTTATTATGTCAACTATGAATTGCCAATTTATGATAATTATCTTGGAGTATGGGAAAAATTAAACTTTATTCAATTTGGAATGGCTGTCACTGCTTGCTTATTGATATCATCGACATACCACTGTGTTAAATCATATTCACATACAGTCAGTAGGGTTGGAAACAAATTTGATTATTTTGGAATAGTAATCTTGATTACATGTTCTTTAAATTCAATTGTATTATTTTCATTCTATGATGAACCCTTTTGGAAATTCACATTCGTTATTATATTTCTTATATTAGCTATTACATGCACCGTATTAACGTTGGATCCAAGATTTGCTACGAATGCTTATCGTCCTTTGAGGTCTTTAATGTTTATTTTATTCGGATTATCAGGAATATTACCACTCATAGCTGCAGTTAAGTTATACGGATATTCTGCAGCAGTTGAAAGATCGTGTGCTGGTTGGCTAGTACTTGAAGGTCTTTCTTATATAAGTGGTGCCGTGTTGTACGCTATGAGAGTGCCAGAAAGATTTACACATGTAGAAGAACATGAAACAAGTTTATTAGACAAGCCTTTAAGCGGGAAGTTTGATATATTCGGGCATTCACACCAAATTTTTCATGTAATGGTTCTAGTGGGAGCATTCTGCCATTGGATGAGCTTGGTAGGTTGTTACCATTATTTACATGAAGTTATATTGCCAAACGCGATTTGATAAGTAGACAAAATTTATACTAATATGATTTTTCATCTGTAAAATAAGTAGATATGAGTAAGCATTTAATCATTTTACCTTGTCATTCTATATGGACACCAGGTGCTACGCTAGGAGAACTGAGAGATGAATGGAGTTTAGTAAGTTTCCAAGTTGAAGGCCACGACCACCTATGCTTTAAGGATCATATTCTTAAAAGTTTAGACATTTTGGAACAAGATAAGGGCGCAACGTTGATTATATCGGGAGGTCAAACAAAGCAAGAATCAGGCCCAATATCAGAAGCACTATCGTATTATCAATTAGCCACAAAATTGACCAACGATATTGAATTGATCCAAAGAATCACTACGGAAGAGTTTGCTAGGGACTCATTTGAGAATGTTATATTTCTGCTTTGTAGATATTTTGAATTACATAAAGAGTATCCTGAAAAAATAACTATAGTTGGATTTGAATTCAAAAAGCAAAGATTTTTAGAGAATCATTTGAAGCAAGCATTATCTTTCCCAAGAGATATAAATTACGTTGGCAATTCACCCACGCCCAGAAACTTGGACGAAGAAGGACAAATTAACTATTTTCAGGATTTAAAAGAACAGGAATATAAACATGCCGTTCAGCATTTTGAAAAGGATTGGTACGGTATTAGAAGTCCATTATTAGATAAGAAAATGAAACGAGATCCATTCAACAGATACCATGGATATTGTCAAAGTAACCCTAAATTGGCGAAGTTTCTAGTTGCCATTAGCGATCAAGAAAATCAGGAGGAGAACCTGAGATCTAACGAGAGTATTCAAAGCTTACTAACTGATTTCACATAGATTTTTATTTTAATTATATACACAATATAAATTAAGCTTTAGACTTATTAATTTGTCTTCTTTCTTGCACGGCCTTACTCAAGTTGTGCAATAATTCAACAGTAGTTTCCCAACTGACACATCCATCGGTGATAGAGACACCGTATTTCAAAGCGCTCTTGTCTTGGTTTAAACCTGGCATGCTTTGTTTACCTTCATTAATGTGAGATTCAATCATGACACCGATAAGAGCGTTTTCACCCTTAGAGATTTGGTCAACAACACTTTCCATTACCTTAGGTTGGTTTCTGTAGTCTTTTTGAGAATTGTCATGAGAGCAATCAACCATTAACTTGATATTTGGATCGGTACTCTTGTTGATGGCTTCCTTTGCGGCAGCGACAGATTCAGGATCGTAGTTGGTGATCTTTTTACCACCTCTCAAGATGATGAAACAGTTTTCGTTACCCTTGGTAGTAGTGATGGCAGCAGTACCATTCTTGGTGACACCCATGAAGTGATGACCCTTAGAAGACGCTTGAACAGCATCTAAGGCAACACCTAAGTTACCGTCGGTACCATTCTTGAAACCGATTGGGAAAGATAAACCGGATGCTAACTCACGGTGCAATTGCGATTCAGTGGTTCTAGCACCAATAGCACCAAAACTCAAAAAGTCTGAGAAATATTGTGGAGAAATGGTATCCAACATCTCTGAACCAATTGGTAACCCAGTCTTGCTGGTCAAATCAGAGTATAACTGACGCGAGATTCTTAACCCTCTGTTGATATCAAAAGAATTGTCCACATCTGGGTCGTTGATTAATCCCTTCCAACCAACAGTAGTTCTTGGCTTTTCCAAGTATGCTCTCATGACAATGACCAAGTCATTTTCCAATTCCAACGATAACTTCTTCAATCTGGTAGCATATTCCAAGGCCGCTTCAGTGTCGTGGATAGAACATGGTCCAACAATGACCAAACAACGGTCATCCTTTCCGCTTATAATCTCTGATGATTCAATACGTCCTCTGATCACAACGTCCAATGATTCTTTACTTGCCCTGATTTCGTGCTGTAATAACGCAGGTGGTATCAAAGGATCGTATCCTAAAATCCTAGTATCATCGTATTCGTCTGGGATTGGTGTTTTACTCATTTTGCTTCTAATTCTATATAGTATTACGTCGAATTCAAGAGAAAGAGTTGTCTGAAAAAAAAATCGCTGGTGCTTGTGCCAGTACTAACCTGCTCTCAGCCAAATTTTCCAAGTGGCACGAAAATTATTTTTGATGACTCATTGAACTATTACACTATTTTCTGCTACCATATACTATCATAGGTTCTACTGTAAAGCTACTACTCACTGCTCATGTTCTACATAGTTTTTGCAGCCGATTTGCATCCATTTATACTTGTATATCGGGTGGTATGTTCGTAGTGAAATTTCCGGATAATCATTTTTCCACCAACCATACCGACGTCATTACGTATGGCCGATGCCCTGGAAAACGGCTTTTGTGTTACCCGGATAGAGAAGAATAAATTTTTCGTTTTAATTTTTTTCAGTCGGAGTGGACTAGATGTTTCTGGTATTTTTATTTAAATCCATACACCTATAATCCATACACCTTGGCTGGTTTTGAATCGTTGCACGCTAATATTGATATAGGTGTGCTTATCTTATAATGAATACTAGTATACGGTATCGTGGATTGGGCAATAACTAACGATATAATGCAATTGCTAATACCAGAATCGAGCATCATATTTGCATCATTCTTTATTTTCGGGCTCTTGAATAATATCCTATATGTCGTGATTCTCTCTGCTGCCATTGATCTCGTGGGGCTGGCGACCCCCAAGGCTACGGTGCTACTAGCGGACATAATACCTTCTTTTACAATAAAGGTGATGGCTCCTTTTTTTGTGGGGTTGATATCGTATCGGGCACGGATATGGATGTTGGTGGGATTGTCATCTTTCGGGATGTTGGTTATCAGCTTGACGTCAGACGAGTCGATCAACGCGAAGATCTTGGGCATTTGTATGGCGTCGTTGTCTTCGGGACTCGGTGAGGTGACGTTTTTGCAGTTGACACATTTCTACCAGAGAGAGTATTCGATTTCAGGATTTTCCAGCGGGACTGGGGGTGCTGGGTTGTTAGGAAGCTTTGTGTTCATGTTGTTGACTAACATGCTTGGAATGAAGGTGTGGGTGGTACTCCTTTTGTTTGCGGTTCTTCCGCTTGGATTCCTAATGGCATTTTATGTGATGTTGCCTAAGGCTCGAGGAGGAGACGGTGACGAACCAGGTTATGAGGCACTTGATAGTCTTGATGAGGGAAACGACCCATCCAGTAACGCCAGCTTCTCGCTGTCACAGACCATGCTGTTGAAAGGCCATGTAATTTCTACTATTCAGAACATTCTCCCGCTAATAAGGCCATATATGCTCCCGTTGTGTTTGGTGTATGTGTCAGAATATATCATAAATCAAGGTATATCCCCTACATTGTTGTTCCCTCTCGATGAATTGCCTCATTGGCTATTTTCGTCGTACAGAGATATATATGTTGTCTATGGCTTCATGTATCAATTGGGAGTCTTTGTATCGAGGTCGTCTATCAGTTTTGGAATTAGAATCAAACGGTTGTACTTGTTATCGGTACTACAATTCGCAAATGTCGTCATCACCGTGTATCAATCCGTGCACGATAAGCCATTTTCATCTGTATGGTTGTTGTTGGTGTTGATGTTTTACGAAGGACTACTTGGTGGCTTTCTGTACGTCAATACTTTTATGTCTGTCAGCGAGGAAGTTTCCAAAAGCAAGAGAGAATTTAGCATGGGATGCGTAGGTATCAGTGATACCTTTGGTATATTACTCGCTGGGTGTATTAACTGGTCGCTAGAGCCCCACTTGTGTAGTCTACAGGTAAATAGAGGTAGAGATCGGTGCTTGAATGGTGGAAGTGCTTAGATCTTAATAGATAACGTCCGATTCGTGCACGTGAAATTTGGACAATTAGTGAATTATCCTGGAGCCACAAGATAATCACTAACTTTTTCACATTATTAGTAATTAAGGATATATATATAAGGTCGTATATCCAGTAGATGTTCATTAGGCTCTTGAAATCCAATAGAAAAGTTAATATTCGAACAAAAACGACCATGTCCAAATTCGATCCTGCTTCATTGCACAATCCATACTTCAATCAAAAACTGGGTCAAAAAGATATCTGGACATTAATTAATGAAACCGCTGCTGAAGCTCAAAAAGAATCTGGTAAGTCTATTGTTAATTTAGGACAGGGATTTTTCTCTTATAATCCACCAGATTTTGCTATTGAAGCAGTCAACAAGGCAACTAGTCAACCCCAATTTAATCAATATGCATCAGCAAGAGGTAATCCAAACTTGTTGAATGAATTGTCTAGCGTTTATACTAAAGAGTTCAATCGTAAGGTAGGTACGGACGAAATTCAAATAACTACAGGTGCAAACGAAGGTATGTTTTCTATATTTTTTGGATATTTAACTCCCGGTGACGAAGTCATTGTCTTCCAACCATTTTTTGATCAATACATTCCAAACATTGAAATGTGTGGTGGTAAGGTTAAATACGTCCAATTCCAGTTTCCAGAAAAGTTCAATGGTGAATCTGTAAGTGGCGATGATTGGGAAGTTGACTGGGAAGGATTAACGAATGCTATTACAGACAAGACTAAGTTGATCGTCATCAACACCCCTCACAACCCTATTGGAAAAGTATTTACCGAAGAAGAGTTATACAAAATTGGTAAAATTGCTATTGATAATAATTTGATCCTTGTTAGTGATGAAGTGTATGAAAACTTGTACTATAGCAAATACTTCACGAGGCCTGCTACCTTATCAAGTTTACCCGAATTAGCAGAAAGAACATTAACCATTGGATCAGCTGGTAAATCATTTGCTGCCACTGGATGGAGAGTCGGATGGGTTCATGGACCTGCTAGCTTGATTAAATATGTGACAGCGGCCCATACGAGAATTTGTTTTTCGACCCCTGCTCCATTACAACAAGCAGTCGCTGATGGTCTTAAACAAGCTGCAAGTAACAAATATTTTGAAATTACGAGGCAAGAATATGTAAAGAAATATGAACTCTTTACAAGGGTATTTGATGAATTAAGTTTACCGTATACATCTGCTCAAGGTGGCTACTTCTTGTTAGTCAATTTGCTGAAAGTCAAAATCCCTAGTGACTTTGAATACCCAGCTGATATTTCAGACAAGGGTACTAATGATTTCAAATTAGCATACTGGTTGATAAAAGAAATCGGAGTCGTTGGAATTCCACCTACTGAGTTTTTATATCCTGCTGATAGACAAGGTAATGGCTTGGAAAATTGTTTGAGATTCGCTGTGTGTAAAGATAATAGTGTCTTAGAAGAAGCTGTCGAAAAGTTGAGACTTTTAAGAGAATATTTATAATGTTAGATGATGCACTATTTATTTATATACATGTTATATAGACGTTTTTCTAATAAATTTTTTAAAACAAAATCCCATTTCACCAAAATCGTCAAAACCACTTTCAATTTCATGTTCAATCTCAGTAAAATTTTCATTCATTAATTCCCATAGTAAGCTTCTCTCGTCTTCAAATTTTGGTCTTAATGGAATCTGAATTAGAACCCTTGCATTATTATTTTTAGAATTTATAAATTTTTCTACCATGTCTACAACCCAATACGGGTGTTTGGAAGAATATATTGGATCACTTAGAACAACAGTATTAAACCTCTTGTCATGTCCATATTTTGAAATGAAAATTGACGGATCACACCAATTTAGTTCGTCAACATTAGCATCTATATTATTTAACAGGACATTATCTTGAAGATTTGGAACGATCTCTTTTAAATCGGTTAAATATGTTTCATATCCTAATATTGAACTTATTATTCCAACCAACCCAGTACCAGATCCCAACTCCAATACTGGGCCGGTTAAATATTCGTCACCTAATTTATTCATATTAATTAATCTGTTTGCCAAAATTAATGATGACCCCCAGGTCTTCAATCCGAGATTATCGCTTGTTAAAGATGGTTCTTTGAGCTTAATGTATTCTGTTCCCTTCAAGTACTTTGATAAGTTCGGCAAACCTATTTTTCTAACAATTTCTGGTTGTGCTGTACGTCCACAATTCTCTGATAGTCTCAAGGATGCCTCCTTACTAATTAATCTTTTTAACTCAGAATCTGTAACCCAGGGTAATTGACTAGAAATTATTCGTGTCAACCATGCGTTATATTGACAGTCATAATTCCTCTTGAGCGATGTACTTAAAAACGGTATATATGATAACTTTACCTTATTGCTAAATCTAGGACAGAAGTTAACTAACCATTCTAATGCAGTATTTAGTAATTCTTCTGTAATTTCTTTGTTTTCGAAGGTTTTCCAAGTATCGATTTTCTTATCTTCATCATTCACACTTTCCGGTTTAGTAAAATTGTAAACTTCGTCAGGGGACAATAATTTCAAAAACATTAGGAGGACTTCTGCCGGTGGTTTCAACTGTAATAACGGCAAGTCAAGTACATGCAATGGTTGAAAAAGGTTGTCTTCAAAATCAATCAAGACTTTATTATCTGAATAATCATCCAAACTTGTATTACATGTAAGGCTGATCTCAGAATAATCCTCTTTGGCCACGCTCGGAGTGAATAGAGATAGTGGATCAAAATCCATCTTCTTCTTGATCGAATGCTTTAATCATTCTATTCAGACCACTTTTTTTTTTTTCAACCATCTCATTTACGAGATAATGAAATCAAATCATCAAGACTGATTGAATACACCTATAACAATAGATTCAGTTCTAATAGTCTTTATTAATGAGATCATGAGTAAATACACGATTCTGTAATAATATTTGACCAGTCTACAAACAAGATCAAGCTGAAGTGTACTTGAACTGCACTTGATATCTTGGACAAATGAGTCCCTAATCATAAAGCATGTTGTATTCCATAGAATATATATATAGACTAACTAAAACACTATTATGTGCTTGATGTAATTTTTTTTTGGATTCCCTGGGTAAAATTTAAACTTACCAGCCCATCTAGAAGTCTGTAACTCTACCATTAAATGACCATTCATCCCCATGCTTCAAAGGATCTTGTTTAGGGCCTCCTCTTTCACCGGTGATTGGATTTACGTCACCTTCAAACTCTGGAATGGTTTTGAAATATTCTGGATGAAAGCCACCAATGTCTGTTTTCTGTGGTGCCAGGGTGTCTGAACTATCACTATTAGCACTTCCGGTCGTTTCTATCTGCTCATTATATTGGTCAATAGCAGCCTGTGAATTGGCAATCTTTTGCAAAGCTTCAAACTCCTCCTGTTGCTCTTTTGGCAATTTTGGTGGGGATGGAGTATACTCGGTACTAAATTTGCTGTAACAACGAATATCCACCCTCAAAGGCTTTAAAATTTGCTGTCTGAATACTGGCCTTATTTTTTGAAGCATTTTTTATTATTCCGATGATTAAAAGAATACAAACGAAGATTTGAAAACTAATGATAATAAATAGTTATATGAAAAGTTTGAATTCCGTTTAACGGATTCATACTGGTCCTTGTATACACACTCTACCAACAGCCTCTTATCACCTTTTTTTTTGTTCTTACTTCTATTGACAGCTGGCAACAACTAACAAGAACTAGCATTTCGATTGATCTTGATTCTAGAGTACTTGTAAGTCAAGACAATTCTAGGTTTTGAAATATTTTCGTTCAAGTCATACTTTTAATGGTTCACCAAAATATCCCGGGATGATATTCTACGTAGTTGTTTTTTAAATTATCAATTTTTTGACTTTAAACGCTTAGCTTATTTACAGCCGAAGAAACCTTGTTATGTGATGGTTTCGTTCAATATATATATGCAGTTGAACTTGACGTGGCATATATAGAAATATTTTGCATCAAGAGTAGGAGCAATTTTGTGTTACTTGATGTTTATCAGTAGCATGAAATGCAATACATGTAGGTGAAGAGTCCCCCAAGAGACGTACTTTTATTTTTGTATTAGGTACATCATAATGCTGGATTTCCCTGATGCTCCACCTCTTCCGTCTTTGGTATCCAAGGATCCAGATATCCTTAAAACCGTGGACGAAAGACTTTCTTATGACAAAAGCTCATCGCAATGGTTTTTCGAGGTGAATAACGATGATAAATCAACAGAGTACTACTATAACTTTATACTCGAAAGATGGATACCAACGGCAGAGATTGACGATAATGGCCGAAAAAGAAGTCATGAGGATGAAACAATCCATGACGAGGAAGAAGAGAATAAGGTAGCTATCAAGAATTTGAAAAAGCAGAAGCTTAAAGAAATGAAAGAACAAATGAATAAATCTAAAGCAGATGACAATAAAAATAAGTCTACGTTCGAAAACACCGGAGTCTATGTCTCGCAACTACCATGGGATATTACGAAGGACGAGCTAATGGAGACCTTCAGTAAATATGGGTTGATATCAGAAGATTACAAGACAGGTGAACCACGAATTAAAATATATCAGAACGATGGTCAACATGATGATCAACGTGATGCATTGATCATATATCATAGTAAAGAAAGTGTTTCTTTGGCTATTGAGATGCTTGATGACTCCTCAATAAGACCACCATCTGATAAGGATCAGACAAAGATAAAAGTTCAACCGGCAGAGTTTAAGAAAACAGACTCAGACACAAGTAACGACAGGAAAAAAACACTCACGTATGAAGAGAAAAAGTTGTTAAATAAGAAAAAAGAAATGATGAAGAAAAAGCTATCAAGTTGGGATGATGATGAAGGCACCATACAGGCAGAAGACTTGGATAAAACAAATAATATTAAAAAGAGAATCTGGGAAAAGATTGTGGTTATAGAGAAAATGTTTCGAGTTGAGGAATTGAAGAGCGATCCTTTATTAGAAATGGATTTGAAGGAAGATATTCAAGACGAATGTAATAAACTTAATATAGGAAATGATGTCACAAAAATTACTATCTATGATGTAAGTGGTATAATCACTGTTAAATTTAATAACGGCGACCTGAGCTTAAAATGCATTGAAAGCTTCAGTGGAAGATATTACGATGGTCTAACGCTCAAAGCCTATCTCTATCAGGGGGAGAAATTCCAAAAAACGAGCCAAGATAAGGAGAATGAAGGTGAAAGGCTTGATAGGTTTGGAAATTGGTTAGAGAAGAAATAAACTATATAGACATAAATAATTAATAGTTAAAAATTGGAGCCCGTATACATTTCATGTTGTGAGATAAAATATCAAGAAACACAAGAAAAACGCGCAAATGGTTTAGTGGTAAAATCCAACGTTGCCATCGTTGGGCCCCCGGTTCGATTCCGGGTTTGCGCATATTTTTTTCGTTATTGAATAAATTTGATTTCTGTCTGAAATATATTAATATAGTTTATGTCATATTATACTTCAAAATTATAATTTTTATTACGTATTTATACTAGCTAATTATATCTTCAACTGCTCAAAACTTTCGTCCAATTTATCTTTAGCAAGTACTATTAAATCGTTTTCTTCTTGCAACCATTGCTTCAACTTCAATATATTGTGATGTTCTTGAAGGTTCTTCAATTTATTCTCAAATTTTTGAGTCTCCTCTGCCAGTTTTTCTCCCTCCTTAATGCCGTTTACTATTTTTGAAACTTGGGAAGTCATATTTTCTATAACACTATTCAAACACTTAGCATTATCAGTGTCTTGAGATACCTGTGCATTGACGGAGTTAATCTCTTTAAACCATAACTTTTCAGCGTCTGAGAGCGGTAACGACTTTGAATACCTCATTTTTTGGTTAGCATCAAAAATTTTATCTTGCAATTTTTGAATTCTTTCATTAATTTTATTTTGTCTAGCAATTAGACCATTGGCCTTTTCATTCTTTGTGTCCAAAGTGCCTTTGTCTAAGCCAAGTTTTTCAATTCTTTGTAAATTATCGATTTGAAATTTTAATTCATCAATTTGAGTTGTAACTCTTAAGTTCAAATGTATGGCAAATGAAGTAAATTTTGATATTTGTTGAATTGTCTCTGTGGAAAGGTGGTTTAAGTTTTTCAATATTTCTGTATTAGTACCATATATAGGTACTCCAATCAATTCTTTATTCATATACAATGATTTACCAAGGGTTTCAGGGTTGACACGCTTCAAAATATCCAATTCGCTTAAAAGCTCATCAAATGGTTCTTTAATCAATATTGATTCATGGTTTACTTTTTCTATTATAGTATCAATATCGATGACCTCGGGATCTGGGTTTGGTGTAGTATTTTCAGATATTTGTTTTACTTCTAAGTTGTTGTCTTTCTGCTTCTTCAATATTATTAAGAAATCGCCTGTCTCGTTCATTGTATCTTTAATCAAAGCAAAACTACTGATTTCTTGAACTCCATCGACAACTAAAGTATATTTGCTGGAAACACCCAAATTTCGTGGTATATGACCATTTGAAACATCAAGAACTAGTTGTTCGCACCATTTACCACATTCGAAGTATATTATACTATTTCCGATCTTGATTGAAATTTTTGATTCCTCGGAATTTAAAGTAGACAATGCAATATCTTGGGATGCGCTAACGGGTATTTGATCAATAGCCAAAGTACTTAATTCAGTAAACTCACCTTTCCAGAATAGTATTTCAGTTTCACGATTTCTTGTTTCAAATTCGTTACTGTTGATATGAGGACTTTTCTCTTCTTCTTCATTTGATAATTCGACTTCGTCAATATATCCGAAACCCTTTTTAGGCCTAATGTAACCTTTTTCACGACTTTTTTCTTTTTCATTTGCTTGTGATTGACGATCCTTATTGGGTGTAGCTTGTTCTTTTTTCAAAATTTCGTCGTTCACGTCATTCCACTTCATTATCAATGGCTTTAACTGAGAATGGTAACTTAAAAAAGTTTCATTTCCAGCAGAAATCGAAATAGACGCCAAAATAGAAATATCATCATTTGAGCCTATGCATATTAAGTCTTTGAGGGCTTTGTCTTTCGTTATAGTTACAGGACCTTGTACGAGTGGACAAAAGTTTTCTGGAAATTCTTGAGTTAAAACTGATAATTCAAGAGGATTTGCGGATAGTAACTGTCTGTATTCCCTCCTCGGGGCAAACGATGTTCCAAATTGTTTATACAACGATGATGTGTAAGCATATTGCTTCATGGATGCATAGTTCAATACACTCTGGTGACTCGATTGGACCAAGTCCTTCGATGGAAACTTTTCTTGAATTGCTGTAATTAATGATGTAGATTCGTCTAGCAAATCACGGACATTGGATTGTGTAGTGGCTATTTTGCCTAGCTTATGGATGAATGGGTAAATTGCGAATATCTTTGAAGATGAGGTAGCCACGTACAATGTCAAGGAACCAGATAGATTAGCATTAGATCCAAACGAAATTGACTGAGCCACTTCTCCCTTGAATACGTCGTCTTTCCCTAAATCAATGGATAATTGAGGTTCGTAAGATGAAAGCGATAAATCATACGACTTGATTTCAGACCTATCGTTCAACACGACTAAACAACAATCGTTGGCAACAATTGATTGCCAAATGACTTTCTTTATCTGCCCTTCGATCCCATGTATTCTGTACGACTTAACTTGTAATAACGACGAGTTGCTGGCTGTCAAAGACGTTGGTAAGCTAACAACAACCAATTCAGAATCACCTATAATGGCCATCAATGATCCCAGAGAATTCATTTCTAACGATCTTATTTTAAAGTCATCATATTTATTGTCTAGCAATCTAAAATTAGTATACTCAGGATTGATAGTACAACATCTTACTAGGTTTTCATTGGCAAAGAATAAATCCAAGTTGTTTCTGCAAACCAATTTATTCTGTGAGAGAAGCTTTGATTCATTGTCAACAGATAATGATTCAAGAAATGTGTGAAAAATTTGTTGCTGGGTTATTCCTGATACAAACTTTCCAGTAAAATCCGTACCCGCCATTCTTATACTTCAGTTACGACTTAATTGGATAATATGGTTGTTTTTAAGCAAGTTCTATTCTTCAACATCAAATATAATGTGTAAAAAAATTGCTTTCCTGCGAGCTTGCTCAACCTGCAAAAGCCGATTCTTTTATGATGCAAAATTCTGTTATAGTTACCTTTTAACTAGAAACTGAACTCAGAGAAGGTCTCATCTTGAGGCCTATTCTCTATATTATTGACCAATTTGTTAGTCTTTTTGTGACAAAAAGTATCTTGTGAATAAAGAGAATAGTTTTCGGGGTAATTGAAGTTTTTATTAGTAATAGTCGAAACTTTGCATGCCGTTTCTGAAGACAATATTGTAGATGTAGATTGAAAGGATGATGCCATCGAAGTGAATCTACTAGGTAAAGAATTGTGGGATGATTTCCTATTTTTAAGAGAGAACATAGTTGAAAGATTTCCTATTTTTGGGGTTGCTGGTAGGAACAACTTAGTGGTATCAAAAACGCTTTTAGAACTAGTTGGGGTACAGCTTGAAACCTTGGAGCTATTGTTGGGGGTGAAAAGTTTGGTAACGTTTTCGAATATATTGGAAGATACGTTGTCACCGTCTTTTGTGGTTGATTTTGTTGTGATTGAAAGGTCTGTGTTGGGTTTTTCATCGTCCGTAATATTCTCCTGGTTCACTAGCAGCTGCTTAGACTTCCATTTTTCGTGATCGTATGTCCTGGCGGTGTTCTTGAACATTTGGCTGCGTTCCCATTTTGCATGTAAATGTTTGGGCAAATTTTTGGGAGGTGGTTCGATGTGAAATTCATGGTGATATCTGGGAGTAAAGTCTAGGCTTCCGTCGAGTGGGGTGTCTTTTCTGGGTGTAGACTGGGTCTTGTAATCGAGCAGTGATAAATTGACCTTAAGGTCTAAGTTTCCCGATAGAGAGTCTTCGGTGGATACAAACGACCTGTTGTCCAAAACACAAGATGCGATAGTTTTCGTAAGTTCCGGCGGAATCTCAAACATGGTCTCTGAGGAACCATTAGCAGTGGGGGGTTTCCTAGCGAGACGATGAAGAATGCGGTCTTTTATGTATCTCGATGATAGTCTTTTAGACCCTGTCATTTTCAATACGCTATCTGGTCTAGGGGACTCACTGCCGATTTCATTCTGTGAATACGAGCTTCTTCCGGACTTGATCCTATTGAAAAAGGTATTGGACCTTGCTTGCTGCATTACACTGAAGAGCGAGTCGTCGCTATTTCCATGATCCGTATCTTCATGTACATCGTTTTGATCCGGCTCAAGGTCAAAAATGGACGATGCTACATCATTTTGGTACACCAGGGGCCTCGTGCCCCATCCACTAAATACGGCCTTAAATCTGTCCCTCTTCCTGTACGTCCGCCTTACTGGTGATATTTCAGTTTCATTACTCCTGCCTGCAAAGTGTCTATGGAATCTCCATGATTTCGCAGCTGAATAATTTGTTCCAACCGAAGTATTATCACCCACCAACGAGACGTTCGAAACTGCCTTCCTTAAAGTAGCAAAAGATCTTCTGGTTCTCATATTTATATGCTATTTAAAGTGTCCAAGTAATAATATCTGGCACTAATCACTCATTAAAAATAAACCATCTTCCTACTTTGTGGATCTATAGCTTTTTGCAACTATTTGTGAATTACATTAATTTGTAAAAAAATTAAAATTACATAGAAATTCTTAGACCTAATATAAATTCAATCACAAACTACAGTTCAATACGAATATACCCATTAAGAATTGTAACTATTGCATAGGTGAAAAAATGCAATTTTATGATGCAATTTATATCCATGGAAGCTCGCTTTTCTGTGATTTTATGAAATATTTAAAATATAATCACTTATTCTGAATTTTATAGCCCAATAAATTACCCATATGTTTCAGTTCTAGTAATAACAGTATCGTTATCGTATATCTTCGTAATATGATGCCACATTCAATCAATTTAATCTGAATGAACATTTCATGGAAATTCTCCTAATTCCGGACCGAATCGAATAACGTGAGCTCTCAAAAAATGAATACATTTCAGGTTCTTTAAAATCTATACTAGGTTAAAGCATCGAAATTTGTAAGTGATACGTAATGGGAAAGCAATATATATCAACTGCAAGTGCATCGGATGCACACAAACTGGACATACTTGGATTGTCCGTGACTGATAGATACACAATCACTGTATCGAGTGATGGATATGCTAATTTCTGGGATAATAAGAAATATGAATTGCAAGAACCTAATGAGATTGTTGTTAAGCAATTTGTAAATAAAATGGGGGTACATCATGTGGTAGCATATGAAAGTGTTTTGCCAGCATCTCATGTGAAGATTGTGCTTATAGCATTTGCAAGCTTTGACGGATCGATTAGCTTCAAATATTTCATAAATGACGAGTTATCGAGCTTGACGGACGTTGAGATGCCATTGGGAGCGAACAGCGCAAACTGGAGTCCTTGCTTCTACAAAGACCCCGAATCGAAACAAGATTATTTTATTGTGACTCAGGCGAACGGATCAGCATTAGTGTATTATTTGAATATCGAATCGACCAAGGATAGCGCAGATATAGAGATTAAACTTGAGAAATTCGGAGACCTTAATAATGCCAATTCCTCGTTATTTCCAAATTCGGTAGCCGTTTCTCCTGGTGTCGATAAGAAGGTTGCGGTTGGTTATACCAATGGTGATGTGTTGTTGTATGACTTAACCACATTAAAGCCAATTTATACATTCCGGTCTACGGATTTACAAGTATCGAATAAATCTACATCCGCTAGTTCGATTCCAAGGGTTCTTGCATTTTCACCAGGGGGTTCATTGCTAGCCGTAGCCCGTGATAACCAGTCCGCGGGTTCCATCACCTTGTATGACGTGAAATACGGGGAAAACGTAGGATCGTTGACTACTCCATCACATTCATCAAAAACAACCATCGGTGGTTTTGCACACGATGGATGGATTATGGGATTGAGTTTTGACGAAAGTGGTGAAATACTAGCCAGTTGTGCGTTCGATAACTGTGTTAGGATTTGGAATATCGAAACAAGAGAAAGGGAAGCGACTATTAATATATCTACAAGCGACTTGGAAGGCACTAATGGTAATGAGTTAGATAATAGTATAGCCAGTGGGGTTCAATTTATTAAAAAAGGGATTAGAGCAGGTGCTAATGGCGATAGTAACGAGGGTTTATGTGTCATTAGTTTTGATAGAGCTGTGAGATGGTATAGAGAAGCAGGGGGCATTTAGGTTATACATAAATACAATTATATAAATCGTATATAACACTAATCTAATAACCTAACCATCCACCATCTACGACCAATGTTTCACCAGTAACGTACCGACTGGCTTCAGAACACAAGAATACAGTAGGACCTTGGAAATCATCCATATTACCCCATCGTCCGATAGGAATACGAGAGATAAATGTTTCGCGTAACTTTGGATTAATTTGTTCTGTAAGGTTAGTAGAAATGTATCCTGGGGCAATTGAATTGACTCTTATACCTTTCAGGGCCCAATCATTTGAAAGAGCTGCAGTGAATTGCTTTATACCCCCTTTAGTAATCGCATACGCGGTAGAGTCAACTCCTCCTTGAAATGAACACAATGAAGCCGTGAAGACAATCTTACCTTTCGTCTTAGTTTCTAACATCTTACATCCAATTGCCTTCGTAAGCTTAACAGGGATATTCAAGTTAACTCTCAAAACTTCGTCGAATTTGTCCTGAGGAAACTCTTGGAATGGGAAACGATTATTGATACCAGCATTATTAATCAAAATATCGACCTTTCCACTTACTGACATTTTAAACGCTTCAGTTGCAATCTTTGCTACCAAGTCATCTTCACTACCCGTTCCACCAAAATCAGCCTCAATTGAACTGATTTTGACTTTTGGATTGACCTCCTGTAAAACTTTAATTGTATTCTCTAAGGGCTTCTCGGATCTGTATGTTAAGATAATCTGATCAATATTTGCATCCGCTAAACCCTTGGCCATCCCCAAGCCGATACCATTGGTACCACCGGTTATCAACGCAACTTGTCCTTCTAATGAAAATAATGATAACATTCCAATTGAATCCTTCCTCTAAATTCGATAATTAAGAAGAAGTATTAATGAAATCTTTAAGGCCATGATTTCGGTACACCTCCGCAAATTTATACTTCGCGGACTTATTCTTTATGGTGATCTAAAATTTTCATTTTGGTTGTATAGATAAGCTGACATACATCAACCACTTTAGAAGACACATGAAGGAATGGAAATCGGAGAAGATAGTTTTGACCGAAACAAGAGAAATTTGGAAGTTGTGACAGAAAAATTAAACCAATTAATTGATAGGGAAGTTGAAAATAAACAAACATTACTCGAGGACCTATCATCGCTTGTTGCCAAAACAGGAGTTAATGAAGCACAATTGAATAGTTTAATTGATTTGGTATTTGATTTAAAAACTCCAGTATTCTTGAAGTCTACACAGAAAAGGTTTATTGTCAAGAATTTGCTTATACCGAATGGGAATTATAAATTGTCTAAACATATTGCATATCGAATAATTAGTAGTATTGGAGTACCTCAAATATATTATAAAAATGGGAAGGAATCAAAACTGAAAAAGCTATCTACAGGTATTCAGTTAAGCCTTCTTGAATGGTTAATATGTTCTTATCACTTATTCGGGAGTAAAGTATTCAATAATTTGAGCATGATAACAATTTTAATTAATTATTTGTCCTATGAATTCCTGAGGCCCTACGTAGCAAACCTCATCTTCCTAAGTGTACTGAATAATAACAGAATGTTTAAAACATACTTCATGCCAAATACTACACACAATATTGCTCCATTTAAACCGTGGCATGTTCAATGTGTAGTTGATCTATTCTATAAGTTCCCTATGGATGAGTACTTGAAAAGTTTGTTAATTTTATTCAAGTCACAACACCCTAGTATTGACTTTAGAAAATTTGCAAGAAATGACAGTTATCATTTAAATAATTTGGGAACTTTGAATCCAAGGATATTTGTATACCCAAATTTCAATTATTTGGATAAATTGAAAGATATTCAGGCCATGAATGGTGGGATAGTAACCAAAGAACAACTTGGACAAGAACAAATTATCAATGATAATTTAAGATATTACGATAATTTTAGTACTTCTGTCAAGAAGCGTAAAAGAATTGGGAACACTCAGAAATTATCTGATGTCCCTGATCTTGATGTAATCGAATTTGGGAACAGTTCGAATAGATCTAATAGTGTCTCTATAAACGATATACACTCACTCGACAGCTTAATCGGTAATTTTGAGAACATAAGATTCATCAATATAAATGCATTATTTAACCCACAGAAATTTGGAAATAGTCGATACATTTCTGACAAATTCAAAAAATTTTATTTTGTATTACAGGGTTTAAGTGTTGATATTGGACAATGGGAAAAATCAATACGCAAGTTAGATTATTATATTCGACTAAGCATTTTGGATAATAATTTATCCATAAGAGATTTGGATATATTGTGTGACAAAATAGCTGATTTTTCCTCATTCACCTTGGGATTATTGTTTTTACCTCTGATAAAGGACTATTTATGCTTCAAGTTTGATTCACCAATATCCAGCGACAATGAATACATTCACAAGTTTGAGAATTTAGCTCAACGGCTAAAATTTTTGAAATATTTACCTGTTTTGGAATTTGAAGAGTTCAATGAAGATATAATTCAAAACATATTAACAGTATTGGATGAAAACTCGCACATCAATGCAAAAAAATCGAGACGTGAACAGGCATTGGTTACGTTTATTAATGAATTGGTCTCCCTATTTTCTACTTGGTATTCAATTTATGCTCGAAATTCAGATCTAGCACTAAAATCAGCTATTTTCAAAAATATCAATGGCTCATTACCTATAATATACAAAGTTATAGTCGAAAAATTTACTGAGTCGTCAATCACCTTGCGGATACTGTTATTAAGGATCTTCAAATTTATTCAATCCCTCGATTCCTATCATCTTAATGAATTTATTAATGCGCTGACTATAGTATTACCACAAAGCTTATTTTACCCTTTAATTTTGTCAAATAACCCCCTTATAATGTCTGAAGCATGTGGATATATGGCGTTCTGCAAGACATATAAGTTTAAGGAACATGACATTCCCTATAAAAATTTGCAGAATTCATATATCATGGATACACTCAACTTCATATGGCGTGACAAATCGTTTTACTATGATGAGGATTCAGCTGCATTTAGCAGGGCGATGTTCTTGGATCCGGACTTTTTAAAGAATTTACGGAAATTGAATATTTTCAATTTTTCAGAATTACTCAGTTTACATACTGTTGGTAACATATTTCATAATCCGTGCTGGTCCTTTATCACTACTCAATTAATAAGAGAATTAGAAGACAATATTGAGAACATAACTATACGACATGCCGGACCCATAACAGAAGAAAGTGTGAGCAAATTAACACATATTTCTGGTGTTGAATGGCTTCCTATGAATTACGACGAGCTTAAATTGCAAGTTTTGCGTTCGTTAGATTCATTAGGGTACACTGGTATCGCGGATTTATTATTTAGTTCCCTAAAGACCTTAATGAATAAGAGAAATTAGTAGCATAAATAGATATATTATAATGAATTTGATGATTGTCCGTAAATTACGTCTCGCACAAAAATTTATTCTGCCTAACGAATTGTGAAAAATTAAGTTTCTATGAATACATCAACTCATAACTTACCATTGTTGCCATCAGGATGTTGAATATAAGACAACTGGCACAAATACGGGCTCCTCTAATAAGGAAATGTGTTGGAATCCTGAAATTGGCTCTGCGTTATTCTTCAGTAGATACAAATCAGTCAACTAAGATTCAAATAAATGAACTTGATGGTAAATGGGCTGAACGTTGGAAGAACATGTCACCTAATGGATCATTACATCCAAGCAAACATATAGTAGATGAACTGGCCGAACCGTTTTATTGTTTGTCTATGTTTCCTTATCCATCCGGAATGCTTCATATGGGTCACCTTAGGGTCTACACTATTAGTGATGTCATTGCTAGATTTAAAAGACTTAAAGGGTACAATGTCATTCATCCTATGGGGTGGGATGCATTTGGCTTACCAGCGGAAAATGCAGCTGTAGAAAGAGGGATAAATCCGGCTATATGGACTGATAGTAATATCCAAAAGATGAAAGAACAAATGAGTTTAATGCTAGCAGATTTCGATTGGGATAGAGAAATCTCTACATGTTCTCCTGACTATTATAAATGGACACAAAAGATCTTTTTGCTTCTATTTGAACACGGTTTAGCATATAGAAATGAAGCCGAGATAAATTGGGATCCAGTTGACCAAACTGTTTTAGCTAATGAGCAAGTTGACTCCGAAGGAAAATCATGGAGATCAGGTGCACAAGTTGAGAAAAGGAATCTTGAGCAGTGGTTTATTGGTATCACTAAGTACGCAAAAGATTTAAATGAAGATTTAAAAGTTTTAGACAAGTGGCCCGACAAGGTAAAGTCGATGCAAAGTCATTGGATTGGCGAATCACAGGGAGCGGAGATTAAGTTTTTAACAGACAATAATCAATTTTCCGAAATAAAAGTCTTCACTACTAGACCTGACACTTTGTTTAGTGCTCAATTTATTGCTTTGGCATTAAACCACCCATTGGTCGAGAAACATGCAGCAAATGATCCGAAATTAGCTCAGTTCATAAAGAATTGCGAAAATTCGGCAATTGATTCTAAGGAAGGTCATTTAATCGAAGACTTGAAAGTTTCGATTCCGATTACGGTGAATAATGAAAAAAATCATAAATACGATATGCGTGTCTATGCTGCTCCTTATGTTTTAGGAACATACGGACATGGGGCGGTTATGGGATGTCCAGCACATGATGAACGTGATTTTGAGTTCTGGAAACTTCATAATCCAACTATTGCACCTTTGCAACTGGTAGGTAGTCCTAAACCAAACAAGAATGAAAACAATGCTCTTTATACCAATAAGCAAGGTATTTTATATGATAGGTCCGTTTTACCTAATGGGTTACAAGATTTAGGAAAATATAATAAGAAATCTACAAGCAAGGCTGCACATGACATAGTGGAAACATTAGAAAGTTATAATTTAGGGTCAAAGTCAATTCAATATAGGATCAGGGATTGGTTAATTAGTAGACAAAGGTACTGGGGAGCGCCAATTCCTATTGTACATTGTGAAAGTTGTGGACCCGTCGCGGTTCCAGACGACGAGCTACCAGTAATGTTGCCAGAAATTGAAGGACAAAGTTTTGGAAAGGGTAATCCACTAGCCAAGCTTGATGATTTTGTAAATACGAAATGTCCTTCTTGTGGAAGTGATGCCAAAAGAGACACTGATACAATGGATACATTTATGGATTCATCATGGTATTTCTTTCGTTATACTGATCCTATAAATACTCAATTACCATTTGACCATGCGATAGCCAGCAAACACATGCCAATTGATATGTATATTGGAGGTGTCGAACACGCAATTTTACATTTATTGTATTCGAGATTTATTTCTAAATTCTTGGGTAATATTGGTTTGTGGGATGGCAAAGATTATAGATATGAACCAATAAAGCAATTGGTGACGCAAGGTATGGTACATGGTAAGACTTATACCGATCCAGAAAGTGAGAGATTTTTGAAACCTGAGGAACTAGATTTGTCGAATGTAAATGAACCTAAAATAATCAAATCGGGTTTGGTTCCAAATATTTCATATGAAAAAATGTCCAAATCTAAATACAATGGTGCAGACCCCTCAGAATGCATAAAGAAGTATGGCGCTGATGCAACAAGAGCACATATGCTATTCCAGGCGCCAATATCCGATATATTAAATTGGAATGAAGAACAGATTCATGGAATTGATCGTTGGCTCCGAAAGGTAGTGAATTTGAATGATTTAATTGCTGAATCAATGTCAAATGACAATGGGAGAAAAAATAATGATAACTGTACTGAATACCAAAATATTCAATTAAATGATATTACTTATGAAACTATCAAATTTAATGAGACGGAATTTGAGTTGTATAATGATTCCCAGAATTATGTTGAAAGTGTTTCCAAGGCCATTGAAATTGATTTTTCGTTTAATACAATAATTTCTGATTTTATGAAATTCACTAACTCAATTTATGCAGCATTAAAGTCAAAAGATTACGTGAATTCTAATTTGTTGCTAGATTCGTATAAGAGATTACTCATAATCATGGCACCAGTAACTCCTTGTGTTGCTGAGGAATGTTGGGAACAGATATCGAAGTCCATAGGAAGTCCTTGGTCATCGATATTCTTCCAAAAATATCCTAAGGTAAACCATATTGAATCTTCATATACCTCATATAATGTATTTGTGAATGGGAAAGCAAGAGCCCTGTTTAAAGGACAAAAATCCTTAGTGACTATGGACGAGCATGAAATATTACAGGAGGCTTTAAAACACGGCGCAATTAGCCAATATGTTCCTGATGGCGCGATTAAAAAGATGATTGTTAAACCTGGAATGATAAGCTTGCTCACGCCAAAGAAATAGATATACTTGTAAATAACCTGATGTAAATAATATTTAATGTAAATATTAATTAATTTCGAAATAATATTTAATGTAAATATTAATTAATTTCGAAGTTAAAATATTAACTTTTTCATATAGCATTAAGATATGTACAATTGCTATATAAGTAAAGAAGTCTATATTACACTATTTACATCTTGAATGTTTTTGATTGTATATTAACATTCTTGCATTAATATCCACGTTCCATGACATACATCTTAAAATCCTTACGTCTAATTTTACCTTCATACTTGATTTGAGCCCGCTTAGCAATCCCTCTAATACTTTTACAGGCATCACTATGATCGATATCGGAGGCGGCTTGGTACAATTCTCTTAGTTCTTTCCAAGTCCACTTGAATTGATATTCTGTACTCAATAATATTGCCAAAGCATCATCTAACAAATTCATCTTTGTCAAACATGAAACCATTGCATTTGCGAACTGAAAATCAAGGGCGTCCTTGGTTGAACGGGATAGGTTTCTAAAATTTGAAGTTTTTCTGAATGTTCCTCTTTCTGACCAAATCCTTTGAGCAAATTTATAATTTTTAAACCTTGCAGCAGCTTTTAACGCTATAACGTAGGACAAGGACGTACGAGAAATCTTTCTATTTCCTAAACCAATATTACTACCAACATGCTTTAAAAGTGGAGACTTTGTAATAGACATTTCATCAAACTTACTTTGCACATTAGAAACTGATTCACCATCCGTTTGAGAAATGTCAGTGTTTGATGATATAGACTCAGGAAGCTCTTCAATAATTATCCTTGTATCGTTCGATAATCCTGTCCTATCAAGGAATGTCGAGCTATCATATCTGTCTATGAAGTCACTTAATCTACCCATTTCTGCTGCAATGTTTAAAAACGTATTGGCACAATCAGTGTTAACAAACTGCGGATTAAACATTAAAGTGTGTGCCCACATAGCACTAGACTCAGCCATAATTTCCTCCTTAGATGTTAAGTCAAGAACGGGTAAAAATGGAATACCATTTTGTGCAGAAGCTGGGAACAAGTTTACGTCTGAAAGAATGTTTCTTCTAAAATTTCTTCCCTTTTCGTGAAAAGTGATCGGAGGCAACTCAATTGATTGGTCTGGCTGAGAGACTTGACTTTTGGAATATGCTAGTAATAAAAAGGAAAATGATCTTGGGGTGGTAGCATTGGATTCATTTAATTTGCTATAAAATGCTCTCGAAAGGGCAACGTCACCATCTTTTGCAGATAAGTAAAGCATATATTCGAACGTGTTTAACGTTGGTTCCCAGTTGTTATTATAGATATCGAAAATAAAATCCCATGCTTTGAAACGCAATTCTGGTCTGGATGTACATCCACGAGCTAATGCAACCATTATTCTTTGGTTAATGCCAATTTTTTCCGTAATCATCTCTCTATATAAATCTAATGCTTTTTCAATATTATCGTTATTTACATATGATACGATAATATCTTGGTATGCCCTTGTATCTGGCTTTGTTTTTTGAGATAAAAACTTCATGGAATCAAATATCTCAACAGCTTGTTTATGATCATTAGCCTTATAAACACATGTCGATAAGATGTTGGAAAACGTATTCTGTGAAGGTTCTAATTTATTTTGTTTCATCTCACTCAAGCACATGTTAATCTTCTCTAAATTGTTATTTTTACCATAGGCTTGAATCATTAACTCGTATGTTTCCCTTGATAGTTTTCCTTTTTTATTGATTTTAGTTAAGTGATTACGATATTGCTCAATTTGAGCTATGCTTTCATCCGATAAGTAGCCCCCATGAGATAAACCTGCAATGAAGACGTTTATAATCTTAGAAGACTTTTTCACATTACCTTCTTCTAAAAGTTGTTCTAACATAGGTATGAGATGACGAATTTGCTCCTTCGGTATAGAGTATATGAACATTCTAATGTCTCTTTCTGGTAAACCTTGGAAGCCTCCACTTTCTTTGAGTTGTTGCAACACCATAGTCCAATTAATATTTGTCTTAGACACCAAAAACTTGATAGCTAGCCCTAATCTCTTCGTAATCGACTCGGGTATATCTATTGCTGGTGTAATTAATGAGTGATCTGAGGCATTAAACAGTTCTGGCTGTGTTTCAATACCACTAAGACTAGGATCATTTTCAGGCAATAAAGCTGATTTTTCTTTACCGACTTCGAGCGAGCCATATATCTTTTCCGCATCTCTATTCACTTCAGATGCCATGGGAATTTCTTGAATCTTTTCGATATCTTCCTTTTTCTTAATTATTCGAGCCACACTTGCGGTTAATGATTTCAACTCTTTTAACCTTCTTTCATATTCTACTTCCTGTTGCTTCATTTTACGTTCAAAGTCTGAATCCACCCACTCACTTAATTTTTCCTTATTATTGAATGTACCGCCATCGTTAGAACGTTTCGATTTCTTCAATGTTGGCTTACCTTTCTGTGATCTAATTACGAATATATTTCGCGAGCTATATATCGATCCCTGCAACCCTGATATGCTCGGTATAGTCCGACCCATGCATCTCTTTTTTACGGAGAGCCCTAACATCATTAAAAGACGCTAATTTGAGTTTCTATAATGTTAATATCGATAATAGAAGTATTCAATTGAACTGCAAAAAATAGCTTATAGAGAAAAAAAAAAATTTCATGGTAAATATGCGACATTTATTGATGTAACGAGTTCACGACATTTATATATTATACTGATACGATATTACACTAGTGCTTTATATTAGTACTGAAAAGAATATAGAAATATACTAAGTTATGTCGTCATCGACTGTGGTGGGATCAGTTCCAGGTAGAGATAGAGCTAATTCAAATGTTAATCTTCATCCGGATATAGGTTCAGTGTCTGCGACAGATGCAAATGCAACCACATCTAGCAAACCTTATAATTCTTCAACACCCGTTGGATCGGCAGGGGGATCGTCTTTTCCAGGGGGAATTGCACACGATATACCACCGGATATGAGTTTATTATTACAGAAACTAGAGGAGGACTTCACAGTAAATAAGACAATAGATCAATGGACATATATTAATAGAAGAGAAGAAATTATGCAATCAGTCAACAAACTTCATCAGCAACAGCAAAGTAATATTGAACTTGATTCCAACATGCTTGAAAAACCATTATACCCCCGTAAAGCAGCGGAAATTATGAATGAGAATAATCTTTCTTCTGGTTATCTCATGGGAATACTAGCCAATAGAGCAAGGATTTACAAGGCAGAAGTGGCGTTTTCTGTACTTGATGCGAAGGGGAAGGAAATATCATCCATAACATGGGAAAAACTATACACCAAGGCAGTCAAGGTTGCACATGAGATAAATAAAATGGCTCTTAAAAATAGCAATACAGTGGTGTTATTATATAAAGACGGAGAAGTATGTGAATTCGCTGTAGCAATGTTCGGCTGTTTTATGGCTGGAGTAACAGCAATTCCGATTCACCAAGATATCTCTTTGCATGAGGTATTGGATATAATTAATTTAACATCAACTAAATTGGTATTGTATTCTGATACCGTGGCAAAAGAGTTAGATAAGTTGAATGCTACAGGTCAGAAAATAATCTGGCCACCTAAGTTGATACGCTGGAGGACAACAGACTTTGGGTCAGCCAAAAAATCGGATTTGGCGACTTGGACCAATAAAATATCCCAGCAGCAACAAGCACCTCGTGAATCGAAATCGGATTTGGCATATGTTGAATTTTCAAGGTCGCCGGTCGGTGAACTAAGAGGTATTGCTCTAAGTCATAGAACTATTGTTCATCAAATGAATTGTCTTAATATAACATTACTGAGCTTACCCGAGTCAGGTGGAGGTCTTCAAAGAAGTTATAAAGAATACAAAGGAAACAAGAAAGTTGTCTTAGCTACCTTGGATATAAGATTCTCTATTGGGTTAATTTTAGGGATCTTGTTTACTGTATATTCCGGAAATATGCTTGTATGGGTACCTCAGAAGGTAATGGAAGTTCAAGGTTTATATGCAAATATTTTATCGAAGTGTCGAGCATCGTTATTATTAGCAGACTACCTTGGTTTGAAAAGAGTTACGTATGACTATCAACAATCTCCTAATTCCACAAGATATTATTCTAAAACTCAGAAAGTCGATTTCTCATCGGTAAAGTGGGTGTTAGTCAACGCATTAACAATTGACGGCGAGTTTATTGAAATATTGGCACAAAGATATTTAAGACCACTAGGATGTCAAGAACCAGAAAATGCAATTATACCAATGTTGACTTTGAGCGAATATGGTGGTATGGTCATTTCATTGAGAGATTGGCTAGGCGGGAAGGAAAAATTAGGTATTGAAAACGATGGCGACGAATCTTCATCTAGTGAATTATCAGCTGTTTCAATAGACAAGGAAGCATTATCAAGAAATATAGTTAAAGTTGTTGACACTGCGCCATCATCTTCAGACGAAAATTCTGCGGATACATTAAGGATTGATGCGTTTGGGTTTCCATTACCGGATGCAACATTGGCAGTTGTCAATCCAGAACTGTCGTTATTGGTAACTAAAGGTGAACTTGGAGAGATCTGGATAGATAGTCCTTGTCTTTCTGGAGGCTTCTATGGTTTACGAAAGGAATCAAAGCTGATATTCCATGCCAAATGCCGTGATGCCAATGGGATTCTTGAAATGGACTTCTTGAGAACAGGATTGTTAGGATTCACTTACAATGGCAAGATTTATGTACTTGGACTATACGAAGATAGGATTCGTCACAGAGTAAGTTGGATCGATCAAAAACTTTATTACAAATTAAAGAAAAACTTAATTATAGGGAATGGCTTCAGATATCACTATTCTTCACACTTGCTAGCTACATTAGCTAGTGAAGTTAGAAATGTATATGATTGTACCATATTTGATGTGTTTATAGGTAATGAGTATTTACCAGTTGCAATCATTGAAGCAGAAGTTATTAGAAAAAGTGATGATCC